TTCAACAAGCCTGGCTGCACAGTGTGATCAACACCTCAGTAATGGGATAAAATTTAAATAAACTACCCTGTTACCGGTGGAAAGGATGAAGAGAAAGCTGCAGAATGCAACTTAGGAAGGGCAATGAAGGACCACTCCCACGACTTTTCAAGCTGATTTTGTCTTGGACAATACACTATCAGGAATGCTTGTAGTCCTTAGCCAAGTTTTCCTGGAGTGAAGCCCCTGCAGGGCCAGGCAGAGTTTTAGGCGACGCTTCAGCACGTGCACTCAACGCCCATGGGGACTAACGCACACACCTCAGCGACGCGTGCCCACAAAACATCCAAACAGCAAACAGCAAACCGCAGCTTCCCGCCCATACTATGGGGGGGGGGGGGGGAAGGGAGAAAGATTTAAGAGAGATTATTTGGAATTAAAAGATTGTATTTTTTCTCAAAAAAACTAGGCCAAGGACACTCTGATCTAAATTGCTGTACACAGAAGAGGGAGTGGATGAAACTGGCTCATAACCTCGTACTACCGGCAACGGCGCTGGCTTGTCCGCATGGATGGAGCTGGGTGATTTTAATGACAATTCAAGCTCACACTGAGCTTCGGAGTGGAAATCTAAGACCAACCTCCTCCAATGGCCAGATGTGTTTAACTTCCAAGGTTGTGGTTTTGAGTCTCTTTTCAGGTTGTGGAAATGTCAAGATCAAACTGAAAGAGCTCCAGGATTTTTGTAGACAGGGGACAAAGAAGCATCCCACACGTTCAGCACGTTATTCTCAAGAGGACCTCCCTGCAAAAATGGAAGAGCTGATCTGCGAGCCCCAACTCGGGCACTACAAGCCTGCAGATCTGGGTGCAGCCTCCATGCAGCTCTTTTAGAAGCCTCTATCTGGGGTGGGGGGTGGGGGGAGGGCAATCTCTGAGCCGTGGCCAGCCCTCAAGCACACCCACTCTTCAGGCAAATATGGTCCTCCAACATGGGGCAGGAGAGCAATCCAGTTCAGAGCCAAGCTCAGGCAAATCCAGTTCAGAGCCAAGCTCAGGCAAAGCCAATGTCAACCTTGGCTGGAGGCAAGGGAAAGCTTCCAATGAGAAGTTTGGGGGTTTCCCCAGGCCACAAAGAGCACAACACAGATACCGACAGGCAGGAATCTGGCTGCATCTTCCTATCCTTCTTCTGTAACAAGATCTCCAGTGTCATCTTAGCTTTGAGGGACTCAAATCTGCTCTGTGCAGCAGCTGAAGTTTAGCTCAGGGCTACTACTCACTCCCAGAAGTGTCTCTCCAACTTTCATCTCACACAGCCCTGTCCAAACAACTTCTAGCAGGCTATACTTGTGTGCTTGTCTGCCAAAGAGATTCAATCCATCCCAAAACAGCAGCACCTTTCCTCCTCATCTTGTGGCCAAAATCCACCACCACTGAGTCATTGACAGTTTTAGTGTCAGAGCTTTCCCGGTTTGAGTTTTGCTTGCTCTTAGGAAAGTGCCTCAAACCAAGCTCTCCGTCTCCTTTCCACTGATGCTGCTTTCTCCAGAGTACTTTGTCTCTGGTCTTCGGTTTGGTAATGACCCAAACTCACTGCACGACAGCAGGAACCGCGGGGGGAGCGAGCGCAGAGCAATTCTCTGCCTGTTCTTGCAGCTCTGCCTTGCCAGCATGGAAATACTGCCACTTCTCTGCTTGCCATCCAATTCTCAATGGTGCAGCTGATAAAGACATTAAAGGCATGAAAGGAAATGAAAGTGCTCTGTCCCACTGAAAGCCACCAGGAGCTGGGTATCGAACCTTCATTTGTGCTTTTGGAAGCCTTCCTCCAGGGCTTTCATGCAGCAGCGAACAACCGATGTGCAATCTATTCACTGTTCTCCCCCGCTTATTTCACAGCTTGAAGAGAGGCAATAAAACTAGGGACTTCGGCTCAGCCAGTTTTGCCTGATTTGCCAATTTTTGTTGCAGTTTTGTGTTCCAGCATCAGGACTTCTGCTAATTTTATTTTTGTTTCTATTGTCAGCATCCCGGCACATAAATGGGAGCGGAGTGCCACCCTGCTACCCCATAGGACACCAGTGTCAGTGCTGGCTGGTCGCAGAGCTCCCACATAAACCTTCACATCTGGATCCTCTAGGAACAGGCATTTTAAAAAGCATCTAAAGGCAAAGGGATTCCATATATCTGATGGTGTTTTTGTAAGTAACCGTTATTTTTTCTTTAATCTTTTCATTCTTGTAGTATCGAACTTTTTTCACAGCCTGGGAACCTACAAGAATATTTTGTCCGACAGTGCAAAGTAGAAGGCGGGGTCAGAAGATGTGCTTCCTACTCTGAGACTTGCCCTGTGTTTCTGCAGAATTTTTGGAGAATCTTTCCGACCAAATTACAAATTGCTGTCTGGCTTATCCAGGCTGTCACAGCTTCTGAGGCAGAGACTGTCGCTCTACAAGGCACTGAAAATCTGCTGGTTTAATTACCTCAGTTTCCCTGTTTGCAAAGGGAGGACAAGATCTTCCGCATCTCAACTCATTAATATTTGCAAATTATTCTGAGATTACGGGATAGTCAGCACTATTTATAGGAATGCAAAATGCCAATTCTATTAGGTGCAAGTTGCTATGCAATTAAAATATACTGAACATCACAATATGTAGCAAACGGGACATCTTGTTTTACATCAGCCAAAAAATGCTAAGTGGCTCTGTGCTTCCTACTTGCTTACTTTATTCTTTTTGCCCTGAAAAACTCATTAAGAAAAGGTCCTGGGCTAGACTGTGATGTTTAACAAGAGTCGTAATCTCTCTCAAAGTTCCCAGCCCACAGGGAGAAGGATGTCCATGTGAGCAAATCAAACTTCTCTCCCAACAGCTGCACAAGATGCAGAACTTTACAATTTGCTGGTGAAAGAGAGGGATGTGAACCACAGTTATGGCCCTTCTGCACCTCTTAAAGGTGATTTCCATTCTGTGGGTGTATATAAAACACAGTCTCTGCTCTCAGCCCTTCCAGAGAAGGGGAACAGAAGATCCTTTGAATCTCAGCTTTTCTCGGCTGCCTTGTACAGAGTGACCAGGGAGAACTTTTATTGGCTCATTCTCCTGCAAATGAATTTATTTTGATTCCTTCCAAGGGGTTGCATAGAGTCTGTCCTCATTTCTGTCTGGGAGAGCTTTGCGAGAGGCCATTTGGACAAGACCACTGCAATAATTCATGCCATTTGCAGACAATTTGTAAACCCTTCCAATGTCCCAGAATGATTCATTATTTTTCTAAGAATATGAAGCAGTATATGCGCGTGTGTTTCTGAATATGCATGCTCATGAAGAGCGAAGACAGGCAGCTCCCTTAGGCCCAGAGGCAGGAATAAAGATCAGCACAGATTTCTTCTTTGTCGAGGTTTTTTTGTGGTATTTCAGTTGTTTCACCCTCCCCATTTTAGGTTTTAAGTGAACCCAAAGCAGAAGGTAGCAGTCTTATTTGTTTCCGTGTGTCCTACAAGAGACTCTGGAAGACCCAGTCTACTACGTCCCAAAGGTATGTAAATAACTTATTCTAATGATGATCATTGGGTTTAGCTTCAGCCACCCAAGAGAAGAACAATTAAAGCCACCATTCCTCATCCTAGATCACAAAGCCTAAATTTAATCTCTGTTAAGTTTTCAATACAATTAGTCTTATAGCAGCTTTCAAACCAAACAGCACCTTGCTGGTAGTTTCTGGATGAACATACATTAACCCAAGCAAGTGCAGAACAAGGAATCTAGCAATCCTAAGATTTGGAATGATTTCCTAAAAGCTACCTCAAATATTCTCCACAAATACCCATCCAATACAAACTACTCCCAAGGGGAAGGCTTGTGGGAGCAAAAATCAGAACAATTGCCGGAACAAATATTCAGGATTTGCTTGGGACTGTAGCCCAAGTCCTCTTTTGCAGCAGGATACAAGAAATAAATCCATGTAGGCTTTCCCTAGCTGTACTAAGTCTGGAACTTTTTAGTATCAAGTATCAGAACCTCTTCCTTTTTCACATTATTTAAGTTAGTTCTGCAGGTGCTAAAAAATTTGCTCCTTGCCATTACATGTACAGTTGGGTGAGAAATGTTACTTGTTTCCCAGTAAAACAATTAGAAGACCATAGCAAGATGTATTGTGGTGCATGAGAAAAAGAACAGCAATAAAATCCTTTTGATGCTTTTCATTACTAAAATGATTTTCCGGTAACAGTAAAGTTGACTGGGCATTCCTTGGGAGCAACTGACTGTCAGGGGGACCAGTGGAGAAGAGACTGTTGGTTATCGCAAGTTTTAAAAGGAAGTATCCGGCCTTCACTACGTAAGAGATTTTTCTCTCCTTGCCTGCCCCATGATCACTCCCTTTGCTATTATACTTGCATACCCAACGGTACCTCCCTCAAAAGATTTTGTTAGTCTGATTTGTCTGGCTAAGAAAATGCCAGCTGAAAGAATAAATCTGGGGCGGCTGCAAGTACAAACACTCACACAGAAGATTTTAAAAATGACCCTGTTGTGTGCTTGTAGAAGCCAGCCTCCCCACAAGTTTAAGAGTCCAAATCCCACATGAAGGGAGGAGAAAGTCATGTGAGAGGTTCAAGAAATCCAAAGCAAACATGAATATTAGCTTTGTTGTACGGTCCTGTAAAACAAGCTGGGTAAAGTTACTCTTTGAGCTGGTTTGGTTATCAACACCTCTTGCCATCCTGCAGTGATCCTTTTGACTTGAATTTCACCACTGTGCATCGGCTTCTGTTGTCTCTCCAGCTTATTGTTAACATCAGTATTCAGCTGTTCTGGCAGGAGATGTGATTAGTTGTGTGTTTTTAACCCATGATTCCACAGTGAAAAAAAGCCCAAGATACATAATACAAAGAATAATAATCCTATACAGTCTAAACAAGCTTTGGGACAGCTGTGCAAAAACAGTATTGCAAGGTTTGTGTCTTATAGGATGGGAATGAGGCTGATTTCTTTAAAAAGCATAATTTATCCTACCTTGCTGGCTTTCAGTATCTCAAACATCAGAGGCAAGCCTTGTGTGATGAGCTCCTCTGTGTACTCTTCTTCCTGAATGGACTTGAATTCCTTTAGCAAGCACTGGATGAGGGGTCGTCGGTGCTGCTGGAAGGACGTGCGCAAGGACTCCAGCCACGTGTGCAGTGTCCAGGGGACACCTATGGACAGAGGACAGAGCTCATTCCCAGCTCCAGAGAAGGATGTGCCCTTCTGCTTTTTTACCTTTAGTTATGTTAAGACTTCAAGCAAAAGCTGCCAAATAACCCTAGAAATCAAATTCCTATTTATCCCTGATTGAAAAGGCTGGTGGTTATCAGGACATCCCAGACCTAATGCACAGAGGCTTTCCTCCAAATGCTAAGAGAAGACTGTGGTCTCTCTGCTCATCTAGCCTTCAGCTTCTCTGCTGAGACTGCCAATTTGTGGTAATTGCTGTGGTGCTCTGTGATGCAAAAGCCTTTTGGAAACTAGATTTACACTAGCTCATTTGTTTGAATGTGGCCCTGGAGAGACATTAAATGGTAAAAAAACCCAGTTTTGGTCACTACCCACCTGGATTCAAACTGGTGGTCTTCAGATTAGAACTTTTTTTAAGCACTGCCCCATGTCCTCTCCTGATCATTACTGTTTTCCCTAAGCAGCACTGGGCAAGTTAAGCAGATCAGCCTTTTCAAGTACTTTGTCGTGGCAGAACCACTCTCCAGGAACTTAAAGGGAACTCCTCCCATGCACTGAGTGAGAAAGCACACAGAGCTAATGTACTTCTGCAGGCACCAGGCTGGAGGTGACCTAGTTTCTTCTCTTGCAGAACGGAGTGGGAGGAAACGCAAGCCTGGTGTTTGGCTACAAAAGGTTTTTCTTTCCACTTCAGCAAACGTCCAGCGCCTGGAGAGCAGCCCCATCGCTCTCCTCTCCCTCACCACCCAGTGCTTTGCCTGCTCAGCCCACCCAGTGAGCCACTGCTCAGACCACCGCATGCCCCGACCCACGCTGGATGTCTCTGGGGCTGGAGCGGTGCAGCAGGCAGAGGCATGCCAGGCACCCAGGTCTCTCCCTGAATGCAGATGCGTGGGGATGGTAAACACACAGACCAGACCGATTCCCCGCCACGCTACCCAGCCACCCTCCCCATGGGCAGAAGCCATTTCCCAACAGGCTGATATGATGCTCAAGCCCCATGTTGGCACAATTAGCACATGGAGAAACCAGTTCCCCACTCCTGCTCTCCGAAGCTCACAAACCTCAGAAAATAAATATGTTTTAATGGTGGAGTGCTTTATGGTGGAGCACAAGAGGAGCTGCTGGAGGTGGCCTCTGGGAGCCAAACACTGCCCCAGAGCCTTAGCTAACGCTCTGCCAAGCAGCCGTGAAGATGGCTGCTGGGGGACACCATTCCCTCCTGCAGAAAAGTGCCAGTGGCCCCCAAGTGGGGTATGCTGTGAAGCCAAAATGGGCTGGGAACCTGCCAGATCCCCCATCACCTTCTGCTTCCACAGAGGTTGAGGAAGACGCAACTGTGGTTGGTTTAAGCAACAGCCCGCTGAGAGAGACACGTTTCTTGCAGCAGAGGGGGCGCCGGGACTGACCTATGCTCCGTATGTCAATGGTCACATCCACGTAGCCGTGCTCGGCGCTGTGGTACATGGCCTCCTTCAGGGCTTTCAGCTTGGCCTTGCTGTTGCGGCTGGCGCAGAGTGGAGCTGCTGCCGAGTCGGGCAAGTCTGTCCCCTCCGCCAGGATCTCCTCCAGCGACAGAATATCGCTCTTCTCCTTCTCCGGCTGGGCAAGCTTTGTGGCTAGGCTTTCCTTGTGCCCAGGATACTTGCTGTGACGTGGCAGCTTAGGACACTTATCCAGGAAATTACTCCCCTTAATGCCAGGACCAGCTGAAAGCAGACCTGAGGCGGTCACCGCTCCTGCTAGCCCACCTGCACTGCCTGGGCCATGTCTGCAAGACGCTGCTGTTGTGACAGGAACCGCACAGATGTCGCACGAGTGGTGGCATCTCGTGGGAACAGAGACCCATGAGCTAAACGTGACTCAAGACTTCTTCCCACAGTCAGGGAAGGCTGAGGCGCCTCTGGACAAGCGCTCAGGACTTTCGATACAGAGGCCACTCGAGAAGGGAGCTGCCTGGAGCTACTGAAAGCACCACCACTTGATTAACACTCAAAGCAGTCTGGGAAAGCTGGAGCAGCTAGACATTCAACGAGGCCAGTCAGGGCAGGTTCAAACACATCTGGGACTACTCTGCAAAGCCACTGATGTGGCTGGGTCATCAAATAGCAAAGCCCAAACTCAGAGACTTGGTGCCCTCAGGTTCATACCAGCGTAACTTCATGGATCTCAACAGAGTTGCTCTCGGTTTCTGCAACTGTGAGAAGAGAAACTGGGCTGGCTCCCATCCCACCTCCCTTGTACTCCCAATGTTCTCCCTGCACCTGCTCAGACCCCGGCGTGGGGAGGCAGCAGGGAATGGCGTGTCCCAAACAAATTTGGGGCAGAGGGGGAAGGAGGAGGGAGTGTGCATGAGCGGTGTACAGGTAAGAACCTAAGAATCAGGGCCTGTGACACACGCAGCCAGCAGCCAAGCCCAGAAGAGCCCCCAGGTCCTCCTCGGGCATGCATCTCCCACTCACACCAGCCAGCAGCAAGGCTGGAGCAGTGAACATGAGACCCCAATAACCAAACTGTCCTCTCTGTCCCAGGGATCCCTCGCAGGGTCCAGATGGGCAGTGCTGTGTGAACCTGCCCTGACATGCCGTTAGCACGTTGTTAGACTGGCAGCTCATCTCTAAGCAAACAGATGGTAGGTACTGTCTCTAACCTGTATCTATGTTCCTCTGGATGGCTACAATCAGAAAAGTAGGAACGTGAAGATCATAATACTAATCCATTACACTGCAGACAACTCCTGAGCGTTGCAAGATCATGCATGCCAGGTGCTCATCTCATTACTTTTTTTTTTGTTTGTTTTAAATTTGCAGCATACATACAACATTACAGCACACAGGACTTCACAGTAAACACAGATGCAGAAATTCTGTTCAATGACAATTAAGGCTGCAGCAGTACAGACACAATCCACCCCAAACCTGAGAAATAGGTCAACAAGAAATTCAGAAGGAATGTCTCTGGCATTCCTTTCTGCCATCACATCAGCTACCATTTAACAAACATCGCATTGCAACACACCACGAGGAGTCCCCTTCCTTTTTTTTTTTAAATCATCTATCAAAAAGCAGCTTGTACCACCAACTGGTTAAATTCACATGCTAGCAAAAAGCCTTACATCTCTGCTCAGTTGGTGGCATGTTCAATTGTTCATGCAGAACTTTCACCCGTCTGCTGAAACTGGATGCCCAGGCAAAAAATAAGCACTTGAGGGATGCCGCTAGACTTGTTCCCACTCTACCTGTGTCCATGTGCAGCAGCCTGACTGAAAGAGTTCATGTCACCTTGTGGAGTCATGGAAATGCCGTTCCTGTACATTGTTCCTATCATGGGGTCAGCTCCTCGCTCCAACAGCAAACTGACCAGTTCAAAATTTCCTGCAAGTCAAGAGATGCATTTTTACTTCTTTTAAATTTCAGTATTTGCCTACCTAAACCACAGAACCCAACTGAAGTATTTATTATGGTGGGAGGAGAAAGTCCTTACCAGCAGCTGCTGCCAACTGTAAAGGAGTTTCAGAGTAATTTTCCTCTCCATGCTCCAAGGAACCTTCTACCTTTGCTCCAGCATCCAGCAACAGCTAGAAAGAAAATTCACCATTTAGAGCAACTGGGAGTATCACAGCCTTCAGAGTTCATGAACAGTGACGAATGAGAGTCTAATGCTTCTTGTTATCTGCAGATACGATGGAAACAAGTGACATGCAAATTCTGCCCATTGTTTCACAGAGGCAAACTGATCCCTTTTTTCGCTCATTTTATGCTGCCAGACACCAGGAGCACTAGTGTCCAACTTCAGAGCCAAAAAAGTGTAACACAGTGTTTCTGAATGGGAAATGGGGTAAGGTCAGTGTTAGGAAGTAATGCGCTGAACATGGAAGTACTGAAAATTAGCCCAACAAGCATCCTTCCTTCATGGTCTTCTAGAAGCCCAACACCATCCTAAAATGGATCAGATTTCAGTTGCCTCCATCTTTTATATAAAGACATGGCCAAAAGAAAGCCAATTCTTAAGAAGAAATCACAGTTCAAAATCTGTGATCTCCATCAGGGACAATTCCACGTAAATAACAACAACACTGAAAACAAAAGTGGCCAAGGAGAGCAGGATGCAGCCTGCGCTCCAACCCCCTCTTGGCCACTTCTGTCTCGAGGCCTTTCACAGTTTTGGTGCTTCATTAAGTGTGCCACAGACACAGCTGTTTTGAAGAAAGAACCTTCTCGACATTCGAGATACCAAAGCACAGAACCAGCATATCCCACGCGACGCCTCGCTGGGGTGAGGAGAGCGAGTGCGTCTCCCCCTTTGGAGCAGCACAAGGGCTGTTGTCCACCTCTCCCCCACCAAGGCAGCGATTTTGTGTTTGCTAGAACATTATTGTGTAAGAAAGTGTAATGAATGAGTAAACAAACATATAAAACAAGTGGTCAGGAAGGAGCACAAGGAGTTGTCAGACTTTCTTTGGTGCAACTTTGCTTTAAAATTGCCCTATTTAAACCTCATATTGGTTAAGGTTTGAACACTGTATTCATTATATAATAGGTCTCATATATCAGTACACTCTAGAAAAATCAGAAGTAACCAATATGAGTATGACAAGAGGATACTGGTTTGAGATGGATGTAATTAGAACTGAAGAGGAGAAACAAAAGAATGAGATGCAGGTAGGGAAATACAATAATACCTGAACTACAGGAATATGTCCATGCAACACAGCAAATGTCAGAGCTGTCCAATGGCGGGTCTCAGGGTGGACGGATGGGTATTTATGAGCAGTACTGACAACCTACAAACAAATTAAAGTTATTTTTTTTTTAAAGAGCTATACGTAATAAAATTCAACCTGCCTGAAAGCCAGGCATGTGAGGGAATAAGCGAAATAAAAAACCTGGGAAAGGTGCTTTATAAAATGATTGGCTTCATTTTTATCCTGCAAAAATTTTCTCAATATTAAAACTGGTCATGCTGATTTGACAGCTTGAATAGAGTTCATACCAAATGAAGTCTTTTTACCAACTACTGTAGCTCCATCTAAACCACTGGCCACCAGATACTTTTGCACAAGGTCAATAACATCCACAGCTAGTTACAGCAGCACACACTGGGGAAGCAGGGGTGGATCAGGATACTCTGCAGCTAAGGACCACTCCCACTGACTTCTCCAGACCATGTATCCACAGCCCCAGGTCTTGGGATAGCTTCAGGCCCGAAGAAATTCTTTCCACATAAATCAGTATGACTTTTGTCGCTGCCGTCATGAAAGACACATCACAAGCCCTACGCTAGAGTTCGCAGATGTGCTTCCAGGCTCCTCCTCTTCCACAGGAGGAAAAAAAAAAGACAGCTGAGAAGTGATGGGGCAGAGCGGCATTTCAGGGATGTGTTAAGAAAACTCCTTTTTACCGCTGTCTCCTGTCTGAGTTGAGTTAAAAGAGCAGGGTGGTGACAGTTAAAAGAGATGCAAACTATATCCTTAGAAAACAAAATGGTATTTTTCACATTGCTCCTTCCATTTGCTATGCCTTAGTGCCTGGTGCCTCTAATGTAGACATTGGGGAAGATGAATAACGGCT